TTCTGAACTTGTGCATTACCAATGGAGCCAGTTATGATTAACCTTTTTGGTCCATCCCTGTAATTATTAATATTATCCGAAGCATTTTTATTTTACACTGTCTAGGTATAAATTTTGTTTAGGTTATTTTTTTATTTTTTTTTTTATTTGGACGCAAGAGGTAATTGACGGTTCCGAAATAAACATATGTGAATTCGACTTTGTATCGCGGACATGTACAGATATTTATTATAAAATACGCTCGAGAGATCAGTTCACGTGAAACGATTCCAAAAACATGTAATATAGTGTTTTTATTCAGGGTGACTTTTTTATTTTTCAACTACATGTAAGTTATTTGATATATATTAATATTAATGTATTTATTTGAATGTTTATATGACTCCAACATTCTAAAACCACTCTTTGAGTGTGTCATGACTATGATTTACGACACTTTTTTTTTTTTTTTTTTATCTAATAATTTTTTTTTTAAAAAAAAAAAATTATTTATTCTATTGGACAAAATTGTGATTCGTGCCAAGTAACGTGAGTATCATGTGTCTCAATTATAGTTTTATAGGCATGCGTATAGCGCTTACTTATTCTTTCTCTGCGTGATATCGGCTTTTTTGTTAACGGCTTTTTTTTTTTGTCGAAAGCTTTTCACAATGGTAAGCATAATATCAGTTGTATTATTTTTTTTTGTAGTGTTTGGAGAAATTTTTTTCGGTGATCATGGCTTTCTATCCTGAGCCTTTGAATGGGAAAAATATATATATATATATTCGAATATTGTCACTCGCTTCTACAAAAAATTTATGGTCCCTTTCTAACAATCCATCAATTAATATGAATTTTAGCCGAAACAGATCAGTGAAATTAAATACTTTCTCGAGATTGCCCGTAGAAAGGATGCCAAATGTACTTGACTCTTTTAAATTTTTAAATCTTTGCTTATTTGTAAGCACGCTTTAATAATCTCGTCTTATTTAATCAAAACACACGGCTTTAAATTTCTACAATTAAAACGAATTCAGCCGTTCGCATCAAGAAAAATGGTACATCAAAAGTAAAATTCAAGCTTCGATGTTCGAGATATTTATACACCTTCGTTATCGAAGATCCAGAGAAGGCCGAAAAACTTCAGAAATCTCTCCCACCCGGTAAATCATAAATTTTTTTATAATTACTTTTTTGTCATCTTAACAATGTAATGTAACTAAATTATCATTACTATTTTTTTTATTTATTATTATTATTTTTTTTTTTTTTTAATCTCGGATCTTTTGACAAACAAAGGCCTTACTGTCACCTCCGTTCCTCCTGAAAAGTAAAAGACAAGCAATCTCTGAGAAAGTGACAATGAAAAAAAACAAATATAATCTTCGTTCATTCATTCATCACATATAATAAAAATTTGCACCACCGTTATTTTCGTTGTTGTCATTCTTATCACACTATAGGAGATTTTAAAGAATTTTTTTTTTGCAATTTTTCACGTGATTGAAGTAATGTCGATCAAGACCCGTTATTTATTGTGTAATTCAATAAAATTGGTCAAGTGCCGAAATGGATGAAAATTTCCCGTGGAGCAAAATTTGCGACGCACACTCTCACCTTCAGAATGACGTAAAAAACCATTCGAGGATAGGAGAGTTGAAGACTTCTAGAATTTGTATGATGGGTTATAAATTTGAAGATTTGGATGTTGTTTCTAAACTGTCAAAAGATTTTCCTGATAAAATTATTCCGTCCTTTGGTAAAAAGAAATCATTTTAAACGCCTGGCTTGTTTCCGAAGTTTGTTTTCAATGATTCTTACATTTTATATAAAAATAAAGGCTATCATCCTTGGTTCGCTCATTTATTATCGCTTGGAGAATTTACTTCGGATCCACACGCACATTATTGTTCAATTCTTAATGGCTCGGTTTCTAAGAAAAACACATCGTCAACGACAGAAGATAACAATTTAGACACATTGATCTCTTCACTTCCCCCTCCAATTCCATATTCCTCTTGGCATGGAAAACTCGAATCCCTGATAGAATCTCATCCTGGAGCACTCGTGGGTGAAATCGGATTAGATAAATCGGCAAAGTTAACTCTTCCATCTTCACGTGCACTCACCCAAATACAAACATCAATTCAACATCAAACATCAATAATGGAGTTACAATTAGATTTAGCCGCGAAGCATAAGAGAGCCGTGAGTTTACATTGCGTACAATCCACTGGTCAAATTATGCAATTGTTGGATCGCAAGGTGTTGGATAAACAACCTTTACCTCCGAGGATTTGTATGCATTCATACGGAGGATCAGTTGACACCATTAAGGCTCTAACCGAAACCCAACCAAAGAAGAAGAAAAAACTTCCGGTGCAAGTCTATTTCTCCTTTAGCATAGTCATTAACGAGAGATACAGTAGATTACCAGATCTGATCAAGGCTGTCCCTGAAGACAGGTTGTTAATTGAATCGGATTTTCATTCTCCGGTTGGACTGGATGATTTGATGGAGAGAATTGTTAAGCTTGTTAGCAATGTTAAAGGATGGACACCCGAATTTACTGTTGAAAAATGCAAGGAAAATTTTTCGAGGTTCATTGGAGAGTCACAGTGAACTGGTTTTGTCACGTGGTTTCGAGTGATTTAAAATAAAAAAAAAAAAAAAATTAAGCTGTATTCATTTTAACATTATTCAAAAGGTACATTAGATTAGAGATTCGTTAGGTCGCACTCATTTTATGCTTTTTGAGATTAAATATTATTAATTCGAAGTTTTCAATTAGAATCAAATTTCAGCAGATAAGCTGAATCATGAATAATGTCTATATGCAATTTATTGAACCGCGACTCGGCAGTCAATTTGCTGAACTTGACAAGGTTTAGTTTTGAATCGCGATGCATTGATCCCGTTCAGCCGAGATAAATGGGTATCCTTGAAAGCGGATCAAAATTTCCGGACTCCAAAACCATTGTTCTGTCTCAAATTATAGTACAATGTGGCAAAACTTGTAATGCAAGCAATTCCGTTCACAATTGGTGTTATCAATGGTCCCAAACATGACCCCAGAAAATTTCATATAGCATTCTCGAAAGAACTATCCATACTCATCTCATCATAATGATTACCACTATTTCCATTCATTTGACCCATCATATCCATTATAAGATTATTATTTTGCGATGTAGATAGACATCCAGGACAATTA